AACGGCCCCAAACAATACCCGAAACGGCATACCCTATCCACAGCGCCCACCAATATTGCTCAAGTCTCAGCATTGGTACTTGTGCGATTGTAAATTATAACACAATTATTGCACATATCTGAGGCACCATAACAACACGGAAATACTTTGTATGTTTGGCTTTACACTAGCGAAGGCATACATAACTAATTCTAAGGACCTTAGCGTTTATCTTGCTGCGCTGACAATGCAACGCAATGCTCAAAAATGCAAGTGTTTCCAACGCTTTGCTAAGCCTAGCTAAGACGACATGGTGGTGGCACCTGCCCGTCCCTTTGCGTTCTACAACCTATGGCCTCCAAGTAAAGCACGCACACCTTCCTTCGTTTTCGGAGATAACTGCCAGATAGCGCTCGTGTATAACTTGCCTCGATGCGCACGTTCGCCTTCGCTGCACGGATCGAGACTTTCTAACGCAGCGCCTTCAGAATACAAGTAACCATTTTTCTCGCGCAGGACATCAAATAAACACTTTGTTCACTCTCCCCAGATGCAAGCCAATCGTCTTTCAGTAACACTTGCATTGAAACATGAAGATACTGGGCCAATTTTTTTTTTGTTTTGATTACTGGCATATCTAGCAGAACAACGTTTACCTGAGTCGCAAAACATTCTTGGGACTTTTTTTTCTACCTCAGATAACGTGTTGCAGCTCAAATTAACACAATCTGGACTTGACCAGTTCACTTTTTCTTGTGGTGGGTGGCTTAGCGAGTATTCTGTGTCTTCTTGTTGTCAATATAGTACGCATATAACTATGTATCAATGAGCGATCTTCCTAATGTAATCAGTCGCCGCCTAGATGTGTCAGACGACCAACTGATATCCGGAGAAAACAAACTGCAAATACAAATCAATATCTAAATCCGTGAATGTATTCTCCAGTTCTTGCTTCGTATCACTCTCATGGGAGCTTATCAACCAACAATTGGCACTACTGAGTTGGAAAACGCACTCTCGATGACCGACTACTCCGGTCACATAGCACGAAAAAAGTGAAGTCTAAAAATAAATGCAAGTGTACACATATATATGAGCACATAATTATGAGCACCCACGTTGGCGTAATTATGCCTTTGTCGTTTATAACATAGTATCTCATCAAAACATGCTGGTTTCGGCATCTAGAGAACTGGCACTCGTCTCTTTATTCGTAATGCTTGTGGGGCGTCGTATATCTAGCAAAATTATCTTGACATGCAACTGTTTTGTGTCGGGGTCTATCAAGACTTCAAGTCTAGTTCACTTTTTTTTCAAAATCTTTCAACAAACTGCCTTTTAAGTGCAGACGCTTCGACCTTTCACTGCAGCCGCAGTGATTCCGTTCGAGCGAAAGCTGACTCATACCGGAAAACCTTCATTTCTTTCTGGTTATATACAAGTTTATGCGCACGGTTCGAATGAAACAAATTTACCTACGGCCACCTCTGTCATCCCAGAATAAGACAGAGTCAAGATATTTAAAATGGCTTACGTGACATTGTCTACAATAAATATAGATAAACTACGGTATATATCAATTCAGCACTGACTATGAACTGATACTTTACCTAAAGGTCATTTCACATGACACAAAGTGTAGCGATTTTCAGGCTGCGAATCCACTCGCAGCGAAAAAAAGGGCAGTTCGCTCCCGCCGCAGTGGTCTGTGGCGAGTTTCCAAAATGTTGAAGTTTTCGCTCTGATCGCAGCGGCGGGAGCCATTTTAGGTCGGGACCCGTCGAAATAGGGCTGGTCTGGCAAAGCCGTCGAAGTAGAGTCGACGTGTTTGTTTTGGTAGTGGCCGATTGTGTGCATTTTAAAATGATTTTAGACTGGAAAGTGTTCTTAACTGACGAAAGAAGCTGGCTCTTCATTACCGTTCACGGAAACTTCATGATATCATAATGCACATATTATTACATTACACTCGTGTCTGTCACTAAGAGTGGTGGCAAGAACTTGCCGCTCCAGTCGCAGAGCGAAACTCTTGGTCCATGTGAAACGAAACCGCCATTAGCGACGGTTGCGAACAGAGCGATTGGAGCGAACGGAACGGTTTTTTTTTTTTTCACTGCAATCGCGGCATGGGAAACAGCCTTGACGCACCTAAGGACAGGTGACACACATGGGCGTCTGAAGGGCGGTGCAAGGGTGAGGGAGCGGTATAACTACCTTCCTTACAATTCGGCCTAATATTTTTCTATGCATGAACATCTTGGTTAATCAAGTTAGGTCCTGGTATTCAGCGTTGTCATTTAATTTTGCACGTTACGTATATCGAATTTTTTCCCCGTCATGCCAACATAGTAAAAAAAGACTGCCTGTGCTGGTTGACACTCCCCCCCCCCCCCGCTCCCCAGAGGATGCCGTCCTGGCAAAAAACTTTTGCGCACGCCCTTGGTCATACATAAACACATGTACAAAAATAACGATATAGGCAGGACATCGCAGAGGAATTACCAACACATATAAGCAGGCTTAAAACATTCTTATGCCAATCACGCGTTAAACGGCGCCTCCTGAGCTAAAAAAATTGCGCGTGTTGTTAATTGCTATAGTGCACTAAAACTGAACTTTTTGGTATAACTGTAGTGCAAGCGCATGAAAAAACAAAGGAGCACAGGAGGAGCGCTTTCTCGCAACTTGGAAATTAAAAAACATATACGCTTACAATCAATATCAACGCATGCGTGTAAATGCAAGAAGTACAGCCGTGAACACTCGAGAACAGTCCGTAAAAAACTGAATGAATAACCATAAACATATTATAGACAATCAAACTCCCTATAGTGCAGCACCACCGAAGGTTGGCTCATGCGCTGTTTTCTTCTTTTTCTTATGTTAAAAGCTTCCGTGAACTTGAGAGGTAATTGAATGTTAGAAAGAAAAAACAATATCCATGCATATCCAACTAGCCCAACTTTCGATTCTGTTGAACATTATGGTCTCGCTTTTCGTCTTAGAAAGAAATGTGCAAAATATTTCGTAGAGCTGTGCTATTGGTTCTGCCAGTACACTCATTGCAACGTTGCTTATTGCAAATAGTGTGGCTTCGTCCTCAGTACTTATATTAATGAGCAAGTAAGATGACAATTAATTGTGTAAGCAACGTAAATACAACACACAAAATGCTCAAAATGACTCGTCTCTCACGTCTCAAGATAAAGCATTTCACTTCCTTCATTGATCGTAGAGATGGTAGTTGTCGGAAAATCTTGGCAGCTATCCTTGTGAGCGCCTTGAAGACGCGGCTTAAAATGTATTGTCGCGTGGCTATAAGGTTTATGCTAGGTCACAATACCGAGGCGTCTGGTCAAAAAAATTGATCGACACACACGACACGCGCGCGCACCAACTAAAGTCGTCATTTGAACTCAAGAGGCCATGGCTGATGCATTTTGCAGCTTTTCTCACATCAATAGCTGCGTGAGCTTTCTCTAAATGACGTAGCAGCTACAAGTCAAAACTATTTTGTTATTCTTCTTCTTTTCATCTGAGCTCTTTCTCGAGCAGTTGTATCTCTCTTCCCGGCGCAGGATAGCAAAGCAGACATGCGTCTGGCTAACCTCTCTGCCTTTCCTTAATTCTCTCTCTCTGACCCTTCGCATTCTATAGCAATTTTATCTAGCTTTCATTGTATTTCGTTACTATACACCAGGAGTCTCAAATTCACATTCGGCACCAGCCCGCAGTCCTGAAAGTGTGGCAAAATGTTGGGATAGTAAAAAAAAGCTTAAAACGAGATTCCTGAGCGAGCGTGTGTGTGTATGTGTGTGTTGGGGGCATAAAAGGGTTGTCAGATCAAAATATCAGCTAGCATTGAACTTTGAAAGCTAGCTTTTCCCTTATCTCATATAGAAGTCATTTCTGAGTGAGCTTGGGCATCGACCTTCGATAAACTTATAACTATAGACGATTTTCCGCAGCACTGTAGGGACACCGCCATGTTTGATCACATGACCGTAATTGGCATTCTCCCAGCCAGTTTCCTCAGCCAACACATTGGGCCAGCTAAGTGACTGTAACCGTAACTGAGGTTAGAAGCCAACTGGCAGCACCCACGCAGACGCGACTGCCCACTTCGATTTGAATCGCGCTTGCAACAGGCCCACTGTCATCCCAGCAATAAATTCATGGCGAAACAGCTACCGCTTTGTGTCTTCTCGCGCTGGGGCGAAAGCATCAGGTGGCCGTCTTTATTATGGAAATTATCTATGTTTTTTTTTTCAGGCATGCTTGTTTAGCATGGTCTCCAATAAATTGGGAATGCATCTTGAAAACACTGCAAAATACCAGCGAATACATTGCTCTCGAAGCTTCAGGACGTAAATATAAAGAAAATGAATTCATGGGTGTGAAACTTACTTGTCACACAACACAGATCAATGGCGTGATAAACTTAAGGGAAAGGAGACGGCACCTATAGACATGCCGGCTTTTCCGGCACGTCCGTCTGCTTCACTCGGCTATAGCTATTGGCGTGCCTGTAGCGACTGCTTCGCGCAGACGCTTTCAGAACGCCGAGCGGACGACGCGACGTGGATGTTGAACCGTCAGCAGAAGGCCACGGCAGAAGGGTGGCCGTAGTTAGGTGATGGCCATGTTGATGTGGCGTCAGCTCGTTTTGAGTAAACAAATGAACTGTAGAAAATCCACAGTGATTCAGTCTATGATGCCGATTGTGAAGTAAAGACTGCTTATTTCGTTGTTCTTTTCCCCACAATGTGACTGCAGAAGCTGCCCTATAAGAAATAAATGCTTCAGGCCAGTCACACCAGTGTATGTTGTATGAACAATGAGATATTATTCATGATAGGCGAGATAATACAGCTATCAGAATCTAGTGATGTCGCTAATGATCTGGAAATCACAAAACTTAGGGCAAGACGAATAATGTGCACGACGCGCGCGCTGCTGACGAAGTGTCTATGGGCCGCATATTTGAAAGGCTGGCTGTGTACATTGAAAAAACTCCTTACCTGATCCCAGCGATAGTGACGTAGCAAAGATATGACCGACTTGGAGACCTTGGACAGCGGTGGCAGAGTTCGGGCGAACGTTCCGAACGACCGGCCGGACACTCGCAAATCGGAACAGCGCTGCGAAAAAAAATAACATCCTAATTAGAAGCAGATTTGTTAATCCGCGCCTCTTGGAAAAGCGGTAAAAATAAATAACGAAGCTTCCTTGTTCTGGGAAGCCTGTTCGTTTCGAACTGCCTTACCTATGCTTCGACAGGCACGAGTAAGCTTCCTACTTAGTGCGCTGGCATCATTAGCACGATGCTGCGTAAATTTTGAGTAGCGTTGCGTCGCACAAAAAAACAACAACAAAGGACCAGTCTAGAAACCCATTCCAGCAAGAACAAAAGCTAATCGTACATATTTGAGCAGATACAACACTAAGGTTCAGCTTTCTCCTAATCCACCTTTTATAGGAAACTAAATTGATTTACCAGATATGATCGTAACAGAAAGAAAAATAAAAGTGTTTCCGTGAATTGTACGAACTTTGTGCACCTACCCACCCCAGTCTGATTATGGGAGACAACCCACTCGTAGGATTCTCTGATGCGTTTAGATCTTTCCCGGAAAGACAAGTTTTATACATTTTGTTTAGAATAACGTAGCTTACGTAACATATTGTGTCTGGTTCAGTGCAGCCGTAGTTGCTCTTACTCGATCAGCACTCACTCATTTAGCTAATTAAACAACTTATCTGGTATTACGTGTCAGAATCAACCTGTGTCAAGTTTTTATTGTGACAGAAATTGTGTCGACACTTCAGATGGCTTTTCGCAGTTTTGGATTCTATCGCCATCACCTTCATGTTTTGTACGAAGTCCTAATTGGTGCATCTCTCACCCTTCGTATGTTATATATACTTGTGAGATAGAGCACTTCAGCGGAGACGATGAAATGAGGTTGAAGCAGGCATTTAATAAACCAGCCCATCTCCGTCACTCCAAGAGTGCTGCGATAACATTATCTCACGTTCTTATATGTGCAGTCAAAAGCTCAAACACTGAATAAATACCCTACTCATCTTCGAACTGGCGTGCAAAACGACACCGGGAGGGGAGGGGAATTCGAGCAATGCTCTCCCATATATCTTCAAGCCTCTTGACATCCTCCTTTCTCCTGGTGCTACGTCACGTCAAGTGTTCGACAGCCAGGCTTTTTTTCTGTCCAACACGCAAAAAAAGCGTGGCTCCGAGCTATCCCATGCAAAGATTTCATGCCAACAGTGCATTCGAAGGTAAAGTATAGTAACCTTGCTTTGTCGAGCGTGTGAATCGTCGTTCGTAGCTGCAATGGGGCTAACTGTTGAAAGGCAATGTTTTTCGTACGCAATGAGAATACTTCAACACCATAGTAATGAGAATACTTCAACCATAAAGAAGCATGCGTTTCTCGTGAATACACACTAAGCAGCGGGGTGCATTAGTAAATGGGCAGTGCAAAAAAAGGACATCTTGCTCACCGAGTAGTAAAAACAATGTTTATTTTGCTCTTGCTGCCACAAACTGCGCCTTGTCTACTCTCGGTGTTTTGTTCTCTACACGCTAATGTGTGCAACCATCTTCCGATGCCGAGCGTTTCTGTAGCGAGTTATTGTTTACAATGAAACAGACATCCTCTTGCTCCGATGCAAAAAATCACACATAAGTAGTCAGGCACAAAAAAATGCTTTTTTTTTTTCCTTTCCTTACAGGTGTAGAAACCCGCCTCCGAAAGTGGTATCACGCGTATGACTTTGGCTAATTCTTTTCTTTTTTTTCACTTCGTGAGTACACCAAAATTAAATAATTATGAAGGAATTCGCAGGTTATATCTACGCGTAGTCTGTGTTATGTATAACGCGTTTATAACATCCACCTTTTTTTTTGCGCAGATTGGTTTAAAGCTTATCAAGTGCGGTATGGTTTCTTCTTAAGACAGTAAAAGTAGATGCACAACTTTTCACTTATTCCATAGAAAGCTTCTCGAAGACATGACATATTATTCTGCACATATAACAGACTATTATAGCACCAGCAGAAGCGAGCGCGACGCACCGGAATACTGAAATGCAGCACCCGTGCGAACACACTGGGTTACGTCACGCAGCCATGGGAAAGGCCTTATTATTAGGGGGGGGGGGGGTGTTGGTTCGAGTAGCAACTGTGAACTTTGATTCGAAGAGCGCAGTCGCAATCCCTGGCACGCGCGCTATCTCGGCAGGCAACTGAGCGGAGCCTGGTATGTCCATCAATTCGTGCTGTGTTCTAAATGCCATGAAGCTGTGGAAAAATAGCACCTGGAAAAATTGTGGAAAAAGCTGTGGAAAAATTTTGTACAGGTATACGAAACACCCAATGCTAAAGAGTTAGCTACCAGCCTTGCTTCGTATATTCAATTGGTTGCTGTCGATTTCATTCATTCGCCTTTGAGGTGAAACTCTGACTTCATATATATGATTATTTTAAGCAGAAGTAGTTCCACATAGCAATAAACTCACCTCTTCAGTTGTCACTGAATAAATGTCCCGAATATATCATAGAATATTCCCTTGGTACAAAGACGCGGCATATTTAGAAAATTTTTTTAGACAAGGGAACAATTATACGACAACTCCGGAGCGTACCTTTACGATAGCATTGTGTATGTGTGTTTTAGCGCACACGGCACCTACTGCAACTGAAATGGTCAGCAGATTTTTCTGGCTAAATGACAAAACGAGAAAAAAAAAGCTGCGCATAGAAAGCTCTTTCAAATGTGTTGACTTTAAAACAATTTTCCGGGACGACGTTAAAATCCACACTTTATGAACAAGGCTAGCTTCAGTACGACATCAATGGCGTATTCGTTCCACAGCAGTTACAAAACCAAACTTTGTGCACACAAAATATTATCATCCTGACCACCGTTATTGCTGGCTTCATCACAAATATAAGACTATGTTATATTCTCTGCAAGATAAATAGCTATATCAATGCTGTCAAGTTTTAGTCTATTCTGATTGTTACTTTAGGTATGACCGTGTATTTTCATTTTTCATATTATCTTACGGCTCCGTTGTCTTCCTTGGGAGATGGTTTGAGTACGGGTGACCCCCACCCTTCCCTGAGACTTTCCAGTTTTTTTTTCAACCTTAACTTTCTACTCGTGAAAGCGTGCGACTCTGTATACTATCCAGGTTTAACCAATCCATACATTCATTAGACCTTCTTTGGTGAGACCCCATACCTACCGTAACGATGCCGTTGCATCACGAAACATATCCTCAACCGATTCCCTATTCTGGATTACAAATACAGGATGTATTTTCTAAACACAATATTCCGAAAAAAGGAAAATTTAGAAGGATCCAAAGATCCTCTTACACTAACTATACAATATCTCCCGCTCCTACTGCTTTTTCAAAGTAAAACAGGTTCGGAACCGGTGATTCTGTCAATTCTCTTACCCATTCTCGACAACTTTTCTTACATGCGCATGCGTATAGACAAAACCAGGCACATTATCCACACTGATTCTTGATCAATACAAGGCTATGGTCAAATATGCCGAATTGACATTTCCCCTATATCCAGTTACATCCAGAAATATTTACAAGCTTGCTGAAAAGAGAACCCACTGTGCGTGAGAATGTTCACAAGCCAGCATTTCTCTCCAAGTTCTATACGCAGCACATACTTTAACGCATAGCATTTATTGATGTACTCTGCAGCGCATAACGGACGCTCCTGTTTCGTGTACCGTTCTAAAACACGTGAGCGTGCGCAGAACACATTTTGTAACAATGAAGTGGCCTGTCCACTGCGACCTCCACCATGGCCGTCGACTTAAAACTTTGAGAACAGGCAGCGTTTATAAGAACCAAAAAATTAGTTTTCAGTTAATCATTAAGCATTAACGCACTTTTAGGCAAAGTCCGTACTAGATTTTCAGTCTTCGATCCAATGTACGTCATATGCCAACGTACGTCGTATGAACGTTAAGGGAACAATTTTGCCCCCTGCGACGCACTTTTTACAAAGTATATATGTACACAGCTCCGCGAGCGAGACAGGTTAGGCAGGGGTGATTAGATTTGCTGGCACAATGTAGATGATGAGAGAGAAAAGACGAGCCACGGCAGGTTTCATGCTTTAGGTTGCCAAGCATCATTAGGAACGTAATTTGCCAACGTGACAATTATATACACCTAGAAGGCAAATAAATGAAAGCACGCCAGGATTTTATTTGAGGCAAGGACGGCTAATTAATGCTGCTTCGTGCGCGAATTTTTACACGAACTGGCAGCGAGTGCGCCCGGTGTGAAGGCAATGACCGCCCACCGCCACAGTCAATATCAGAAGTCCTCGCGGACAAGTTTCTTCTGATGAGGTTCCCAATTAGTGCCTATCTACCAGAATGCTTCACGACACCTTTGACAAAGGAAGGACGTTCGACGACGACAAACTTCAGGCCTCTCTGGCCTATGATGGCTGGTGAAAGACAGGCTCCCTGCGGCGCTGTTTCTTGATGTCGCCGGGCTGACGCGCGACGTCACCATGCTAGAAAATTGAAGTGACGAGTTCGATGCCTGCATTCATAGGCATTCCTAAGAAGAGGGCACAGAGGCTGTGCCCCCACCCTTTAATAAACTAAAGCAGGGGGTGGTGAAAAGCCTGCTTTATATCGTTAGTCAGGTGAACCTGCCCCGCCTTTGTATATTATTATTATTATTATTATTATTATTATTATTATTATTATTATTATTATTATTATTATTATTATTATTATTATTATTATTATTTAAAGTGCTTTCACGATGAAATGGCATTCAAGAGTGGAGTGCATAAATACATAAATTATACAACTAAAATAGTGCAGTGAATTCAATTAACCCAACATTTTCTCACATTATAAAAAATATTGGTTACTATAATAAAACCAAATAGATTAAGAAGGAGTAATGAGTACAGATGACATATATTCGCGGTTATACAATGTTAGGTAACATTTTGCGGAAACGTTTGCAGTCAGTGATAACGGAGACACTTCAGGGAAGGTGGTTTCAATCGCGAAATGGACGGGGAATGAATGACTGAAAGAAATACTCAGTGGGCGATGATGCAACTCCTACGTTTTTGCCATGATCAACACGGTTTTGAATTGATCGTAGTCTGAGGTGATTAAGAAGTGCTGAATGTTGAGAAATTTGAAGAGAAAGCTAAGGTATATGCAGGTTTTTCATGACAAAAGCAGGCGAAGGTTCTTAGTGTTGACTTCGAAGAACTCTTTGCTCCATATCTTTATACCCTTGAATCCATGACATTGTGGGAAGCTAGTGATTGTTTCCTATTTATATTTTCTTCTATTGTGAAGCACGTAATCGGGATCCAACGAACGCATAAGCGATAAGGGCACTGTTATAAGATATTGTCCCCTTTAATGGGAAACACCAAGCACGCTTATGCCTGAAATGCTGGTCCCGCATGAAGTTCGCGGCAATATTTTTATCCCCAGATTCCTGCACTTCATTTGATCTCGCTTATCTGCACCTATTTCTAAAGTAGTGCCAATGGGATTTAAAACCAAATACGTCCTGCTTGATTGAAGACGTTTCTTTTTCCAACAGCTGGATGTTTTTCAGTGGCTCGTAATTTTTTATTTCTATCCCTCCTTAGTGATTCTGGGTTCTATATTTTGTATTTATTATACTTGTTATATGGTGTCATCCTTCGAATTCGCCGCTGTTCCATCATGTTTCTCACATTTTCTCGCGCTTTACTTGAGTCCACATAACATTAACAGCTAAAATCGCGTATTACGTTTCAAGAAGTACAGCTGTCCACTGTGGTCATTCGGTGAGCACGAGTACACTGTTGTCCACTCACGTAAGTGATCATGGGCAGGTTCCAGGCGTCAGCGACTAGTGCCTCGGCATAGCAGTTCTCGTCCGGTCCAATGAAGGCCACGACGCCGCTCTGCCACAGGGCCGTCATCTTGCGGATGGCCGATGATGTGCCCACTTGGCCCACATTCTCCGGTCGGAAGGTCACTCGATACCCCGGAAGCAAGCTGCATTTGTAGAAAGTTGACCTTTGTGTTCATTTGTATCGCAATATACGTGGTGTAAGACATTGTGAACGAAAGAAACCAGTTAGCCACAGCGGTGGCACAGCAGCTACGTTGCTGAACTCCTCAGCCGAAAAACACGGGCTTGATCCTGGCTGTGGCAGTCGCATATCAAGGGAGGCAGAATGCCAGGAGCCTCTGTACTTCTACTTAGGCGCTGATCAAACAAACTCAAGTGGGCAAAAACTCTGAAGTACTTCACTGAGGGATGCTTCAATAACTTTCTGTGTGCTTTTTCTGTTTTTATTCTACGTCAATATAGTGTGATGCACTTGAGTTTGCTTTGTCTGTCTTTGTAAATTTGATTTCTCAGGTTTTTTTTTTCGTGCTGCTAATATTTCATTTTGTGTATTGTCTCAAATGTTCTGGATTCTTGCTGCTCGTTTTGCCTTGTATATGGTTATTATTACCACCTACTATTCTTCTGTGAATTTTTTCTAATGGTGTCATCCAATGGTAGATTCAGATTGGCCCACGAACTCTGCGCAGGAGCACTCCACTCTGCGCGCCAGGGCATAAGGGTGGCACCGGGAACCAGTTTGCGGATGAGGCAGCTCGAGGCTTCACAAATTACCGAGCTTCCTTGCACACTGCAATAGACGATCCAACGCACCTAGACCCAAACTTTGGTACAATTCTTCAGTATTACAGGGACAATAGAAAACTGTATCCAGATCCACATAAGAACCTCACAGCAATGGAATCGGTGGCATTACGCAAAATCCAAACACATACACGAACTTACACAGGCTACATGTATTCTACCCCCCAGCATACAGAGATATATGTCCGTGGTGTGGGGCTACACCAACTCTGTTTCACATAATGTGAGGGTGTACACGTCATAATGAAGTATACCACAACATGAACAACACGGAGGAACAATGGGAGGCACTGCTGTCCAGCTCGGCCATTGGTGATCAGCACTGGCTGGTCCAACGGGTAGTGATGTTGGCGGAGTCCTGGAATAGGGGCCCGACCATTTGGAATGCTCTACAGTATACGCCAATAAAGTTTTCTCTCTCTCTCTCTCTCTCTGGTGGAGGGCAACAGAAGGAAATCTATCAATAGAACACACGCGCTCCCTGTGGAGCAGATGGCAGGGTCATAATGAAATGCGATGTGCGCGTCTCTCTTCTTGCTCGTGTGGGCCCGCGTGGCATAGCGACGCTACTCTAGTAAAACGCTAGCTCCGACATGAGGCGCACCTTACGCAACCGGCGTCCGTTGGTGCGCCAAATGTTGGCAACGTTTGAGGTCACGGGGTGCTTGCGACTTCCGTTCGGATCTGCTGATTTTCGCGGAGTAGAAAAAGTTGCTCCGTGGAGTAGATCTCGCGACGGATGTGCTCCAGATGTGCCTATGGAACACACAGGGAGCACTCTCAACACGCTCTTGCAATACACTTGCTCGACGTGGTGTAGACGAAAGCATTAACGGAAGTGCTCCCAATCTGCCAATGGATGACACCATGATTTACTTGTGTTGTAACATAGGGTCTCGTTTTCGGTACTAATACTGTGTGACTCTCATCTGCATAAGAGTATTATGTTATTCATGCTTATTTGACTAATACACTGATTCTGAAACTGAATTTTCATAAAATAGGGCTTTTGTGAAATACAACCTCAGATATTGAAGTACCTAGCAGTGCACAAAATAATGAATTCCCCTGGATTAATTCAGCCTCTCTAGTTAGGTTAATCCGGAGGTACTTCACTCGTAACTTCAAATTATAAACTCTAGTAATAATTGGTGAGACTTCACCTGCAAAAACCACAATAAGCTTACGAGCCAAGCTGTTTTGTGGGACGACACATTCATTCGAGCGACCTGACGTTATTCCTAGTAGACCGGACTTGAATTTGAAGAGTGTTTCCTATATCTTGCCTCATCAAAACGAAGCCGCCATGGCCGGCAATCGAACCCGCGCCCTAGTGCTCAGCGGAGGTAACATCTTACCTGCTAAGCAATAGCGGTTTTTGATAAATGTATATGTATATATCGACTGCGCTTATTGAACATGCAGTGAACATTTATGCGTCACCTCAACGCCGCTTTAAACCTTGTAGTTTTCTAGTCCGTACTAAGTGAAGTTTCAAAGAAGAGCGATGAGGCGCTAGATATTACATAAATGACCCAATGGCGTCTATTAAAATGGAGGTAAGAGCTTGTGAGATCGATGTTAATGCACATCAGATGCTCGAAATTTCTGATGCCGTCGACTAAGGCATTCTTCATAAACATTTTTTTAGTTCGAGGTAAAATGATAGATTAAGGTAGGTAGGTAAGTCACAGTTTTCATGGATATAGGTAGCACAGAAAATCACCAGCAACGAAATGCCTGTCACGAGCCATAAGGCACCGCGTTCATAAAAACGGCCATAAGGCACCGCGTTCTCCCTTTTGACACTGCAGGGTAGAGTGAGCAAATATAGAAAAAGTTGTTTTGTCTCGTCTCTGAAATATGGTCTCCTGTACCACTGTTAGATAAACGCAATATATATACGGTAGTTTCGAGTTTCGAACGTGCTCATAGCACAGCCAGCTTCTCTATGGGGGTCATTTACACCCGCTGCGGTGGTAGTCATGGTGGTTGACTGCTCACCCGCACGTCACGGAATCAAATTCAGTAGCTGTGGAGAGTGAATTTTCAGTAGAAGTGAGAATGCTAAAGGCTCTTGTACTTAAAGTAAGGTGCACGTTAAAGAATCTCAAGTAGTCAAATTTCGGGAGCAATCCGATACGGCGTCTCCATGATCACATTGTGGTTTAGAGACGTTAAACGTGAATAGATGTTATTACCCGAGGTCGTGTGCTCCTGGACGCAGTAGTGCAATTTTCTTCGCGCTTCGTAACGAAAGCTCGAATTAACAGAAATGTAGCATGCCAAAACATTTTCTGAAGATAGTGTTTCAATCATCCAGGAGACCGGCTCACTGCGGCGAGGTAGCTGACCAATGGGTGAACGCACTTATGAAAGCTTTCTGAATTAGGCCCTTAATACAGGGCTTGCTAAGGACATCGAACTTTGTTCACTTTCGCTTTTTTTTTACTACTCAATAGTTCAGGTGAAGTGTTCCGTATTAAGACTTTTCAAGAGTTACATGAAATTGGCTCAAGCTGTAACCATAGGCCAGCAAATGGCGCATGGTTAAACGGCAGTAAATTGCGAAGCAGGAGAAGCACAAGGGTGCCCATCAAGACACCTAAATCCTTATCATGATCTTAACTTAGTTAACTCATATAAGAGATGAAGTGAAAATTAATTAGTGACACAAAATATAGCGGTATTCTTTAAAGAGTAGCAGTAGTGTAAGAAAATCATGAAGACTCTACACCTACACGAAATACTAAGGACAGTTTATTAGTACAGTCATTAACGCATTCACCACGACAAGCATGAAAACTCTCCTGACTGCCTAGGCGGCTCATTGAGAGCCACATCAAATTATGAACAAACTTTTCACGTCTGCCAAAAAGAAACTATAGGAAAGTTTTCTCAACAGCTCACACTGGTGTTGCAGAGTTTCCACGCCGGAATTGGAATGATTCCAGAATCATTCAACCTCGGTATTTAATGTTTGAATGGTATTGAAATAGAATGGGGACACGGCTTGGCGAAATAGAATGGCAATGGAAGGAGTTGCCTTTTGCGGGGTATAGATTGGGAATGGAATTATGTCTTTTGTTCCGACAACAGAGCATGGCTTCGTCTACATGCTGTTTTTCAAACTTCAAACACTAGCAAGTCAGAACCTCAAATATAACAATGAAGCGGTACTTTTAAAATGGCTTTATTGATTACAAGCAAGGTACACTTATACGCAACACGCCTATTAGAATTTTCCCCTTATATGTTTATATACGAAATACATAAAATTGTCACTATAGACTGTCGTTCTCCGCAGTTTGGCTCTATTCTCCACGTAACTGCGGTTCTTATGCTATTGGCGTATGTCATGCGAACCATGGTGGTGCCATACATACCCCCTTCTCCTCTTAAACCCTGTGATATTTTTTCCTTCTGCCGCCTGCTATCTCAGTCGCCGTCACTGGTTCGGGCACATACCCTAAAAAGCGCTTCTGTAGTTTGTAATGCGTATATTGACCTTGGCGCCATGCTTTTGTTCACTGCATGTTTTCGTTTATCAGCTGGCGCACCATCACACCTCATACCACGCCTCCCCACTTTCTTGCAATACTGCAGCTAAAAATATCAAAATGCTCTTCCAACGTTGAGAAATTACAGGAATGAAATTGAACTGTACGCTCATTAGGGGAGTCAGAATGAGCCATTTTACTGTTCCGATGAATTGAAAGGAATAGAAATGCGTCAAGTGATAAAGTCGGAATAGAACAGAGGCGCCAATCAGGCCACACTGGTTCACACCGTTGTTTTTTTCGCCGTTTTGTTTCTTTCGTAATGGGTATTTTTTTAAAGTTCACTTACAAAAAAAATAACGTGCAGTTCTGAGTGATTTGATTATCACAGACATTACCCCGGCGCTTTTCCGAATTCTTTTCAGAACTTTTCAGCAATAATAAACGTAAGCTTATCGGCTGCTATCTCGATATTTCTGAAGTATTACTGCGTTCTAACGACTGAAAACAATGGGTGCGATGACAGGCACGCTTTTGCCTGATAGTCAGGAACCCGCAATTCGTTTTCTTAACATATGACAAACTTCCACGTCATGTTGTACACATGTTTTATCTTCGACAAATGCAGTGCACCTATTCTTTACCTGTCATCTCTATTGATGTGGGATACTGCCAAGGGCACAGCACCGGATACCATTTTTCCGAGCATCCGGCTGTTGTTGAAAGTACCGAGGAAAGCGATTGCCACCTCTGGCCGGTCGTCGGTCACATTCTCCTGGGACTCGGACTTGTTGCAGGGCAGAAGGAAGCCCAGACTGCTCGCCGTGCTCGTGGGCAATGCGTCGGGGCTGCTCAGCACTCCCCAAGCGAGACAAGCAGCGGGAAGCAGCAGCGTTATCTTCACAAGCAGTAGCAGCAGCAGCACCACTGGATGATGGTGCGCCATGCACTGGAAAAAATACAATGGCATGAGTGCATCGAAAGATATTGATACCGAAAAAGTCGCATACTTTTTCTCGTAAAGGAAACACTGAGTAGTATGCGCATCAACTATTGGTTGGCTTCGTGCTTTGTAAAACGATGCTCTTTATTCATCAGCGTAGACGTTCACAGTTGTTTTTTGTACATTATCAACTTCAAGCTACAAGGTCTGCAGACCCATTGATTTTACAGACCATAAGTGTCGGCTTGCCGGCGCTTGAGTCTCGTTTAAGCTTCGCGAGCTCACAACTCCGGTTGTTTCCGGCACTGCTGTGCTGCAGCCACTTTGCGACTCCTAAGCTCAGCTGCACTCATGCTCACGTCTCAATTTGTACTACTGCGTTGTGTCTGTGAGAGAGAGACGATTCAATGCTTTACTTATACAGTGCAGTGCAGTGTCTCCAGCAGTCTCCACTCATACCAGAGCATGGCGCTCAGCTGTGTCTCAACTGGGAGAGGGCAACAAGTGCCTTTTTCTTCCTCGACAATCACTATATGTATACCAGAGCATTTACTGAAGTGGAGCGACGCGAGCGCTCTACTACAGAGAAATCTAGTGGGTGCTAGGAGTACTAGCGGTGGTACGGCGCGACGGTGTACAGACCTCGTTTATAAGTTACTTTGCATCTATGACTACGACTGGACTGGACAGTTGCGCGAGTGGTTCCATCTTGGGGCCTTCGCAATCGAGCTGACCGCAATGGCATGGCGTTTCTCCGCACTTACAGCCCCTGGTCATCACTAAAGGTTCAGTGACCCCCCCGTTGTTTAGCCAATTTCGGTTGCTGCTGCTGAGAAGGACGTGAGCAAGCACGCTCTCGTCGACTTTAGGGCATCCGCTAATCGCAGTCGCGAACGCAACGACTACACGACAAAGTCGCAGGGACAACAAGGCGGTCTATTTGGAGGTAAACAGACCCATCGGGAAGGCCGCTAGAGCACTTTCCCACTCCGGCCGTGCAAAAACTCGCAGGTTTCCTCGATCGTTCGCTGGAAACGACACGAAGCCGAAAGTCAAAAGTCACCTTTTTTATTCTTGTAAGTCGGTTTATTCATCCTACCCCGCACCCTTTTCGAACACTTCCTGTACTTAACGTGTTTTGAACCCCTTCAGACACGGATTATGATGTACAATCGACGTATGCATACAATAATTTGTACACCATAATTGCAAGGCACTGAGTATAACATTGCAGAAAAGAAAACATAGTAGCATGTTATTTCATGTCAATTCACTAGTTAATTCTACTTGGAAAGTAATTAATTGAATACTTGATTGTTCTGTAATTATTCGTTGTTTTATTTTGACATAAAACAATAAAAGCAGAGACTGGAAATGAAAGCAGTTTTTGGTTAGATTAATTTCGAGAAAAGAAAACCAATACTTTGACGTTAGTGCTTGAACGCACCTCGTCAAACTATCTATCGAACACCATATCGCCTTGACCAGATTGACTGGCTATGGTCAAACGCACTTCTCCAAGCTTAAGTGAAACTTTTGAGTCACTTCTCAAAAGTTTCAATTCATTTATACAGTGATATATATTGCCCTCTTTTGACATAAACTTGAAACAACTATAGCATACTCAAGTAGCATACGCAAACTTAACCACCACCACTAAAGAAGTTATTCTGCCTCCATGATGGGTCCTCCTTTAACCAAGTGAAGGTGTCTTGTGCCATCGCGTGGCGCAATGTTATGCGATTTCACACTGACATCATGATGACGTGACTAATTTTTCAAGTTTCATGAGGAATCGAATGCTTTTTTTTCTAACGAGCTACGTTAGCTTTGTCTAATATATGCCGCCTTCGCAGGATGCAATGTAAATGAGCAATATATTGGAACCAATATATTGACATTGCGTCGCGTCTTGGTCGGTTCAGCCCCATCTAGCCTTAGCAAACACTGGGTTGATGAAGAATTTCTTAACTTCTGATTGCTTGCCTTTAAACAGCTAATAAAATAAGATTCGTAAGGAACACAATGAAGACAGGTAATGACGCCTAAACTTTCACTGGAGCTGCATTCCTTATTGAATAATTTCTGGTATTTTCACATTCTCATCTTCCCCTCAACTTCTGCATTGTTGATTTTTTTGGCACCTTGATGGTCATATGTTGAATCCAATGTGCGTGTAAGCTGTGTAATTTGGGAAGAAGGCAGTGCACAGTCTATCAAGTCTCTGTTTTAGAATGCTATTCTCGCGCACCGCACCCAAACGCAGAAATATCAATGAAATTCAGAAAAAGGTAAATATGGAGCGCGAGTGATGTGAAGCTTAAAAAAGTCACAACTTTTTTGTAAATGTCTCTCCACCGCGCATTGTCTTCTTGTATTTTGTTTTCTACTTCCATTTCTATTTTTGCCCGCTGCTTGAATTAATTATTATATAATGTTGGTCGGCGACCATACACGACTGCAGCTCCAAGCAACCGCTTTATTCCATAAATAGAAACCATTGTGCATTCAGGGCTAGGGGGTCTTCGAGCGAAGGAGTTTAGAACAATGTCGCTGTTGTGGGCGTTAAATTTTTTTTACAACAAAGCAGCTAAGGGCGAAGCCTTCCGTGTGTCGTCCATAAGAAACGATTATTATGAACCGACAAGAGCTGAATCACCACCCAAACACTCGACACAGATGGTTACTCAAAGAAGCTGGAACGCGCAGCCACAAATCGGTGTTCGTCACTCTTACGTTTCCTCTTCGCCTCCTAGTGGAAGAGTACACTTAGTTGGGGGACTTGCCCAACTTCTGTAGCACGCAAGCATTAGAAGAGTTTTACTGCCGACATGTCATGGTCAGGGTTTCCCTCAGGCGCAAAAAAAAAGAAAACAAAGAGCTAGAAAGACACAGACTAAACTTACACGTCTTCAGACTTCTCAGCCTGCATGCGAAATAAATAGGTATAGCGAGAAAGAAGAAGACGACGAGTTCTTGCTTCTGTGCGCTAGATAAAAGTTCATGTTCTGCCGGCGTTTCCTTGATCGTCGAAGTCATCGCTGGTTCATAATTAATCGTCGTAAGACATTTGGTGGAGGTGTAAGAGATATTCACATGAACAGGTAACTTTGTAAGCGTGATGATGCTCTGTCATATTCGAACACGAACTTTATTTTAAAATGGTCTCAGTACGGGTAAGTGCCATGACTTAATTACAGAGAACTTTCCTGCATTATTAGTAATATGTAGTGCAACGTGAATAAGGAAAAAAACAATTCAATTTTGGTTTCGTATTCTGAAAGAAATCACACGCTAAGTAACTTTAAAGAACTATTTAAGCCAGTTACGATGTTGAACATATCACTAGCGAAGCCGGCCGGCGAATGGATAAACGCAGTTGATTTTTGTTAATTCGTTCCGGGATTCTATATGCTGCTCCAAAGCGAATCACAAAATATATAGGCAACATAGCACAACACGCTAACAAAAAAAAGCCAGGGCACCGTTCAGAATTATAACGTAGTTGTAAGCACCAAATTGCAGAAAACACTCCTTTGGCCACAACAGCGGACAGCATGTCTGTAAAATGAGGCAAAGCTTCATAATCGAGTACTATGATCAACCGTGTCTGGGGATTGCAGAAGGCGGAAATAAAAGCTACAACTTATGAGGAAAAAGCTTCAACCTAAGTGCTAGAAGCACCAAAAAAAGATATGTTGCTAGAAAACTATTACGGGAAGAAAAGTTATAGACTTGTACAAGTGAAAAATAAATGTGGAGCTTTCACACAATAGCTAAAGGCAGTAGAAAATATTTTGAAATCAAGTAAGATAACTCGTAGCATCGACGAAACAATGCATGATGTTTACAATGCTTCGGCACAAATACATAATTTCAGCAGACGACGCTTCTACTAAAATGGGGAGGCTGTTAAGAGTAACTGGTTAAAAAAAGCCAACATATTTTGATCTCCACCAGAGCAAGTGACGGCTAAATATGAGAGATAGAGATTTTCAAACTAGTAATATACCAAAGAAACGCAGATGTAAGTGTCCCCAAGCGGGACAGCTTCAGGTCATTAATTTATATCTGAAACAGCTAGTCAAACATCTCGCTAGTACTACACTACAAAGAGGGTGATCAATATAAATCATTTTTGAATTATTACATCAAAGCAGGGTCATTGCTTTCTGCAAAAGTGAATGCATGCGATCTGAAAAAAGTCGCCAGCCTAGCTGCAGTAACGTAGTTCATGTGCATAAAACAATGACAACTTATATAAAAATAAAATCTTTTGAAAAGGGTTGAAGAAGTATATGCTTGTCATGTATAAACTGGTCAGACCAAGTGACTATAAAGATGATTTAGTTGCACTTATTCAGCGCACATAGAGTTTATTACCTCAGAAGAGCCTTTTACGGACAGCTTTCTTGTCATTTCTTTTTTTTGTGTGTGTGGGGGGAGGGGGGTTAGGGTTGCTCCTATTGTTGTGCAACAGGGGATTGCGACGGGATATTTTTAGGCTCGAGGCATGTGTTCAAGACAAGGCCACGGATGACGGCCTTGTGGGGATATCCGAGACAAATGGGTCAAGACATGCTCACGCACGGGAATAAACGAAACGGAACAAATAAAGAAGATGAACACTAAGAAAACGATAGCACAATAAATTACGAACACAGCAAAACCAAGTAGAAACGGAGAGGCACCAGTCTGTGGTATGCTTCCCTTTTTTTCTTTTCTTTCCTTTTTTGTACGATGAACTTGCATTGTTCCTAGAAAGCCAACTAGCCCAGCAATTTGTTCTACTAAATGATGACCACAAGACGCTATTTCTTTGGCCCGTAATATTTCTGCGGTTCTTTTACGTCTTTTTTTTTTAATTTGTGTAATTGTTGTTGGCTAATACATAGGAACAGGAGGAGGAGAAAAGAACTTTATTCAGAGTCCGGCGAGTAGATGGGGTGGGCGAATGGCCCCACCCAGGTTACGGCCAGGAGTCCTTGAATCCTTGAATGAGT